TATTTATTACATCTACATTAACAGTAAGTTGAAATATAAGAATGAATAAAAGAATCATGAATATGTCATAGTTAATGTGTTGTACACCCCCGGACCATGCTGTACATCAGGATTATTTTCAGTCATTATAATGAAATGAAACAAATAATGTCCAGAAAAGAAATGCAGAGGTCAGCGTAGAAGGCCCCCCTTACCTTTGAGGTCAGTGGGGGAAGGACCCCCTTACATTGGTGGCCAGTACAGAAGGGCCCCACTTGCATTGGTGGCCAATGGAGAAGGACCCCCTTGCATTGGTGGTCAATGGAGAAGGACCCCCTTGCATTGGTGGTCAATAGAGAAGGACCCCCTTGCATTGGTGGTCAATGGAGAAAGACCCCCTTGCATTGGTGGTATGTGGAGAAGGACTCCCTTACCTTTTGGTGGTCAGTAGAGAAGGATCCCCTAGCATTGGTGGTATGTGGAGAAGGACCCCCTTGCATTGGTGGTCAATGGAGAAGGACCCCCTTGCATTGGTGGTATGTGGAGAAGGACCCCTTTACCTTGGTGGTCAGTAGAGAAGGATCCCCTTACCTTGGTGGTCAATGGAGTAGGGACCCCCTTACCTTGGTGGTCAGTGGAGAAGGATCCCTTACTTTGGTGGTCAGTGGACAAGTACCCCCTTACCTTGGAGGTCAGTAGACAAGTACCCCCTTACCTTGGAGGTCAGTAGACAAGTACCCCCTTACCTTGGAGGTCAGTAGAGAAGGACCCCCTTACCTTGGAGGGAGGTCATTAGAGAAGGACCCCCTTACCTTGGTGGTCAGTGAAGGACCCCCTTACCTTGGTGGTCGCTAGTCGCTAGTAACCTCTGGAGGAACCCTAGTGGAGAAAGGCGGCAGCATCATTTTTAAGGTGTTTGATAAAAATAAATCTGGTCAGGAGAAGGGACCCGACGTGCGCAGGATGTCTCTAGTGTGAATGATCCTCCTGTCCACTAGAATTGTGGGTGCTGAAGGAGCTCCGCTCATTGTCTACATCTTGCCTCCACCTAGTACGTATGTTGATGACCTCATAGGTGTCATGGCAGCCTTGGGTGACCCTGGAAAAGGGGGGGGGGTGACTGCGGTTGGTCTTGGTGTCACTTGGATGATGAGGTGGAACTTTAGAGCAGAAGACAAAGCGGAATGGAGCCTTGAATAGGACGTTGCCCAGTAATACAAAGGAACCATTTCTACCACTGATGAGACAATCCGGATTCTCCATTTTACTTGGGGTCTGGAGTTCCTTTTTACCACTAGGAAGAGACCGGAACAGCTGACCCAACGCAGAGCTGTGATTGGATTAAGATCGATAAAAGGGCTTCCTCCATGGCTGGGGGAGAGAACCATTGGGAGGACCATTAGAGCTCCAACAT